AGAGTTCTCCAGGGTTTGTTCTAGCACAGTTTAAGCAGCTGTCAGAATTAACTGGGAGGAAGATACAGAATATTCATTTGCATGTGCTTGCACAGCAAGCAATCTGCTTACTATTTTTATTAACACAGAAAAAGAAAACCACAGACTTACTTTTTCACAGTGTGTTTCAAAACTGAAAGGTGTTGAGGAGGCTTTCTTTTACATACAGTACCCTGATTAGAATAACACCAGGTGTTTCATCCCTTAAAATAAATATAAACGTAGAGCTAAAATGTTTTCTTTTCTAGAAGAGGAGACAGGGAATGTTAAACAACTGATCAACTGCATGGCTAAAAAGAAGATATTATAGAGTAGTTCTAACAATAATAACTAGTGTCAGTGAAGTGCCAGCTGTCAGCAAGGGAATGACTGCACTGTGTCAGAACAGCTCCTCTGCCATTAGATGTATACCTGGACATTTCATGAAGCTATCCATGCAAGATGCCATTAGCAAACCACAGGATGTCTGAAAGACTCATAGGAATCAATAGTGTCGAGTTTCTATTCTGAATTATTCATTTAGTCTTTGCACTATGAAAAACACTTATTTCTATAACACGCTATCAATGTACTACAGCAATGCAGTTCAAAATTTTGAACGCGGACCTTGAAAACAGAAATTTTAAAAGCATTTTGTCCAGCTAGTTTTAAAAGCTTTCTTGCTCATAAGACCTTTAGCATTGATTTTAGAGCAACCAATCCCCTGCAGAGATGCAACCCATTGCTCCCATCACCAGCATGCTCCTCTCAAGGCTCCACCAGCTGAAAGCCCAAAATGGAAGGACAGCCTTCCTAGCAGTGCAGCTGCCCATCAACCCCAGGTGCCACAGTGCTGCTGGAAGATTGAGTACAAGGTTCTCTACAACCTCTTCCATTAGAAGGAAAAAATCCTTAGGGGAAAAACATGTAGGTGCTTATTATGTATTACGTATTTCTGTTATCTGTTAGAGCCTTGATCTTGCTAGTCTCTGGTTACCTTCTCTTACACTGTGTTTTCAGCACATAATAATTGGTGATAAATAAATTTCAAATATTTCAAAATATCCTGTTTAATCTATCCATATTAAGCCGTAGTACTGCAAAAATATTTTTAATTGGTTTGAAAAAGGGATTGAATGAGAAAGAAAGATTTGTCTGCTTTTCCATTTTTACATTTCAGGGTCTGGGATTCAAAGGAATTAAAGCAAGAATTCTCAGGCTTTACTGGAAATTGCATTTCATTTCAGATTCTTTAACAATGCTACCCCAGAAAGAAGACCTTTCTTTTCCCAAAGGAAAGCTGGTTTTGTTAGGTCAGGTGCTATTTACTGCTACAGAAAGTCCCAAGACCCCACTGCCACTCTATCCTGGAATGTGAATTTCTTTCTGGAAGCTCCTACCACACAGCAGGCAAGACTGATATCTCACCTCTCCAGTTTGTATGTCGACAAGAAGTAAAAGGCAGCATATAAGTCAGAGCCCAGCCATCAGACGTTAAACAGTAGCCTAAATGAATGCAATGTTCTTACCATCTCTAGGAAAATCATTATAAATTCTAAAGAAAAAGATCAGCATTAAAAAAGCTGCATTGCCAGTCCATTTGATCTTGAATTGTGAAATACAAAAAATGGTTGAATTTGGTAAATAACATGTAATGTACCTGCCTGTAAAAATGTGCATCTCACGACTGCTTACAGGAAATATTTCTGCAATGACTATAGCTCTAGTTTAGCAAAGTACACAAACACATGCTTAACTAGTCAGCTTAACTAGTCAGAACTGACAAGGGATTAATCTCATTCACTGAAGTTTAGTATGCTCTTGCGTGCTTTGAAACCAACTCAAAATGGGCAGCAGAGGGCAGGAGGGGAAATGTTTCTCAGCCATGTTTTTTGCGGTTACTCAGCAAGTCTCTTAAATGTAGAAGATATGTAGGAGACAATAGGCTTCCATGCTATCTCCTACTAAATGATGGTAACCCATAAAAGCATCACGATGTTGACCTAGAAAAAACTCTTTTGACTGTACTACCGTTAAGGAATAGAAGTCCAGTACTTTCCCCAGGACATTAGATTACAAGAGAATATGAGATGTATAAAAATGGGCAAGAAAAAAACTCAACAAGTAAGGAAAAAGTAAAAAGAGGCAAGAGAAGGAAAGAAAAAAATGAAGAAAAAAAACCCAAACAAACAGAAGAGAGGAAAAGAAGTGGGGGGAGAGAAAGGAAGGAGCATATGTAAGAAGGAAAAATATTAAAAGAAACATATAATCTCTCCCCATCCCAATAAGAATGGTGCACATTCTGCTGCTCTCCATAGCCTGTCATAATTTCTGTATTCATTTCTTTCTGAACCATAGCACAGTGACAGATAAGACTTTACATCTTTTTTCAGGCTGTGAATGGGAAGCATTTCCAGAACACAACTTATCTTTCTCTAAGGCAGATATTTAAGACATCTAGAAGGATCTGTCCTCTCTGCTAACTATAAAAAAATTCTAGACATCTAGATTGTATAAATCTAGTGAGATGCATGAAATAAGCTGATTCTCACCTTTTTGTTTTTCTCCTCTTCAACAAGCTACTGGCAATCAGTGAGCATCTATGAGTTGCATGCATTTTGTATTAAATCCAAGGTGATAAAGCTGAAAACTGTGCCTGAAATTCACTTAATGCATAGAGCAAGACCACTCCAGTGATTCCGTTAGACATACACTTTTTTATGGCACTACTTTAGCTGTATTTCCATTATGTGGAATTTCATAAATATGCCCTTGCATCTTAACAGAAAGCATCTGAGGGATTAATTTAACTTCCATGCAAGTCACAGTTCTAGAAATAGCACTATAAGAACAGAAAATTAACAATGTATAACCAACTGCTTTCCAACTGAGTATCCCCAAAAGATAAACTTAAGCTGATATAAGTTGTATCTGTACAGGTTTAGAATTCAACTAAAGAACTGTTTAGTGAGCTATAGAAGATGAAAAATCACTGCCAGTAATAGATAAATATTTCTCTCTACAATCATTCACCCCAAGAACTATCCGACAACAAAGGCCTGAGGCCACTGACCTTGGCATGCAAGTCAAAAGGATTTTGTGTGAACTCTTCACTGCGATTTCCTTACACGTTTAGATCCTAAATCCTTTCTAAGCTACTCCCAAGATGTGGAAAGAATGACTCTGCATGTTTTAAAACTGTGTAGAGTAATTATGTACGACACTTCCAGTACACTGCTCTTCTGTAGAAACAGGCATCATTTTAAACTTGTATCAAAAGATTATTTTAAATGTTTCAGACAGGATTTTCCATTTTTTGCAGAAATTAAGCCTGCATCCTTAAAATGCATCTTTAGTATAGAAGAAGATCAGTAGCCCCTAGAAACACAGCAACAATTATCTTCAATTATAAAGAGAAATGCACAATGGTTAATCTGGAGATTGCATTTTGCTGCCAGAGTACTGGCAAACTTCCTGTGTGATTTTTTTTTCTTTAAATCTAATTTCTCTGAAGTCATTGACAACGGATATATTTCTTACATGTAAATCTGAAGTAAAATACAGAGCACTCTCAGAAGGGAACAGAGCAAGTCTGCAGCCTCCTTGTCTTCTCCCATTAGCAAGCAGAGGACTGCTGCAAGAGCACATGACCTCTTGGGTATACCAGGACCAGGGTGTGATGTCTAAAATAGGGTGCTGGGAGCTGCTGTTTCTATGCAGCATGATTCCTTTGGGCCTAGGAAACTCATAAAGGGAAACATATCCGCACTGTTTAGTATGGTTCTGTAGCTACAGACACCCTGGTCACAGAAAGACTGTGCAGAGCTGCTAATGTCAGGACTGCTTCTGATGGCTCAGTCATGGTGGGGAGGATTGAAACAGCATTCCTGAAGACAGGTCTCTCTCTCACTAAGAAAAATAGTGATCAACTTCACGTCTGGGCCATGCTAGCTTCCTAAGTCATGCTGCTTCCAAGAAGTACTCCGGTTTCAAATGTTCAAAAGATGCAAAACTAGAATGCTGCATCCTCTAAAATTCCGAGGAGATTAAAAATAAGTTTATTTTAAATATCCCTGAATAAATCCTGTAATGCTACTACATCCAATATTTCTCAAATACATACAAGCACAGCTACGAGAAGAGATAATTAAGTCACTTTCTTAAAACGTTATTTTTCTCTAAATATGAACACAAGTAAATTCTTCCAACAGTATCTGAACACTGTACTCACTAATTAAATCTCAACTCTGACAGCTTACAGATACGTTTTTATTTAATGTGACTTCTACATGAATTCAACTTCTGAAAAGAAATCAAATGTTCAGTAATTATGCAATCTGTTTCTCCAGAGAAATGTCTGGGCTAGACAGTTGGCGCTGAAAAAGCAGATTAAATTTAGAACTGAAGGGCCATGCAGCAAAGGTGAACTCACAGCCTTTGGTTCTCTGTTGACTATGATCTGTACATATTGTTTAAATGACGCGCTCTGCGCCTGAGGTCAAATTCAGTGCTATTCAAAAGAAAAGTGACTTTCATCCCTAGAAAGTCTCTGTTTCTAATGCATGCGGATATCACTAGATGACATAGTTATCCTTTGCAATGTCACTTCCCTGTCTTCAATTTTCCCTGTACTTTATTTTTATTTTTTAAAATTTGTCCTATCAGTGTTGCTACAGACATGGCTGTCTAATGCTAGAAAAAAATAAAATAAAAATCAAACTTTGCAGAAAGAAAGAGTAACCCTTAAAGTTTGTCTTATTTTAATTTCAAGTGCAAGTATTCAAAAACCTTAGATTATCAGACAGCAGTATTTTAGCACCTTCATGACTGCTCAAATACATGTCCATAAACTTTGTGATTTAAGATCCTAGCTTAACTATCTTACTACCACACAATGAAACCACACTCTAAAATCAAACATTTAGTACATGATCATTGCTGTAATATTCAGTCATCAAGACATCACAGAAAAATCAACTGACCTTCATGAGATGTTGATTTATCCATTTTGTGAAGGTCTTCTTTTGTACTTTATCCCGTTCATCTGGAGGTAAAAAGGAAGAAGAAAGGTTTTCAACAGCTGTACAAATTACGCAGATTTTATTTAAGGATGGTTTTAAGAAATTAACATTTTAATAATGTCTTAAAACAATATAGCCTGTAGAAGCTCTGAAAAATCTAATTAAAATAATAGTATAGAAATGTTTTGCAGTACATGTCAGACAAAGGTTTCTTCAGCAGAGGATCTAAGTTCTTTCAAGGCTATAGCACCACTGTTAGAATAGGAGCACTGCTAATGGAAATGTAACTTCCTAGGAAAAGGTGACTGTGCAAAAAATGTATTTAAAGACCAAAGCAAACTTTTAAGAAGCATAAATACTACTGCTAACCTCTGAAATCTGATAAATCATTACAAATAGGAATTCCCTCCCTTTATGAAAGCCAGCTTTTTGGTAACTGTTTTTTTTTTTTTTTTTTAACTGGAATATCACACCTCTTCCAATACACTTCAGTCATAGAAAGCACCCTCTTTCTTTTCAACCTCCATGGTACACAGGGGTGTTGGTTAACCCACCGATGAGACCCAGCTACTGCTACACAGGCCGCTGTTGGTAGCTACTGCTCCTTTATATGGCAGCATCAACAGCTGCCTGTCAGACACTGAGTGGAAATATCAAAAGCAATAGGGTAAGGAAGCATCCTGTTATGGGTGGGATGCATGTACATGTATTCTTCAGAGCCATGCCAAAGAAACAGCAATGCCACCCCAGCTGAAGTATCCAGTTCTACGTCCACAGAGCTATGCATGGTCACTGGGTGGTACAAGTGCCCCACAGCCCTCAGGAGCTGCAGGGCAGGACCCAAACCATCTGCACAAGCCTATAATAGCCAGATCCCTTAAGAGCTTGTACAGCAGAACTGCAGCAGCTTCATTGACTTGTGCTATTTGTAGTGTGGCTGAGAAGCTCAGGTAGCAAAACAAGACCGTTTCTTCAGCTACTGCAATCACGAGAGCATTGAGTCACCTCTTACATTTTACACTAAAAACACTTTTGACAGACTGGTCAAAGGTAACAGAAGAAGTAAAATAAACAAATGAAAGAAACCGTCATGGGAGGTCCACACCCATGGACATTTGAGTCACAGTGTGATACTGAGGTGTTTCAAAATGGCCTGAAATCACACAAGATTGCACCCCAGGCCACACAGTGCCCTGTATACCTTTCCTCACAGCTGTGAGAAATAAGTATTCAGGAACAAAAGCAAAAACAAGACAAGCAAAAGCTTGCAAAGCCTTTGTGTAGTTTTCCAGTATGTGACTCACACACACACACACACACACACACACACACACACACACATTTTTCCATTACAGATTATTTGGAGAAGGGCGGGAGGGGAGAAGGAAGAGGTTGATCATTTTAAAACAACTATAATCTTTGTGTTCACTGTGGCAATCAGTTCTGCAGTTAATACATGTACCATACAGAAACTCTGCACAAAATAGAGACAGTTCCCAGCACACCTTTTTCTACCTCACTCCAGATCTGTAAGTTTCTGACATACTCTTTTCCCTCTACAGAGAACTTAGTCTAGGTGAAGGCTTGAAAAGAGAATTAAGAAATTAACTTTCAAGCAAAGCAAGAATTACTTGAGAGAAAAATCTGATATATTAAAAAAAAATAATAATTCTGTTTTGGTGCCCTTATGAAGAAAAGTTGAGGAAGTTCTCTTGTTCAGCTGGGAGAACACCCCAAGGAATCCACATTGTGGCCTTCCAGTACTTAGAAATATGTTATGAGTAGGAAGAGGACTGAATTTAAGCAGGTGAGCAGATAGAGATAGGACAAGGGAGAGAGGCTTTAAAAGAAAAGAGGGGAAATTTAGGTCAGATATTAGAAAGAAATTCTTTACTCAGAGGGTGGTGAGGCACAGGTTGCCCAGAGAGACTGTGGATGCCCCATTCCCAGAGGTGTTCAAAGCTAGGTGGGAAGGGCCCTGGGCAGCCTGATCTGGCAGGTGGCAATCTTGCCTACAGCAGGCAGTTGGAACAGGATAATCTTTAAGGCTCCTTTCAACATAAGCCATTCTATCGATACATTTTCTATAGCCTTCATCCAGCAAGGCAGCATTTCCAACAAGAGTAATTCATCCAAGTAAGGCAGAAGCCCTAGCTTGGTTAATGAAACAACAATCTCAATCAATCTTGGTTAATGAACAAAATCTCAAAAACGAAAGAAAACAATAACTAACTTTACTTACAAGTGTTCCACTGTGGGTAGCTATTTTAAAAGGAACACAATTTTTCCAAATTGCAGAATTTAATAAGCCAGCCCACAAGTATACAATGTGTCTTCTTTGCTAAAGCAACCCCAGCTAGTTTTGACTAACTACTACCACAGTTTACATTTTGTTACTGGGACAACAGTGGGAAAAAAAAATCCCTTTGCAGGTAACTTGTTAGAACATGTAGTGACAATTAATTTCAGCCCTACATCTAATGAAAAATAAGTAAAAAATGATGCTTATTCCCCATATTCCTTACATATGTATACATTACACTTTTCTGCACTTACAGAAAAACCTGTACAGCTCTAACAAACAAACGTGTAAAAAGGAAGAAAAATAAAAGTGCCATGTTGAAAAAAAGCACTAGAATAAAAGAGCAGTTGTGATTTTTAATCAAAAAATAAACTCTTTCAGCTAAGAAAATGCACATTAGGATGAAAGTGCGGTATAACATTATTTCATGCAGCTGACCTCTGAGCAGAGCACACCGAAGCCAAAACACCAAATGAAGTAACTAGCAGATAGGCAGCCTACTGCCAAAGTAATTCAAAACTAAGAAACGAAACCCCTTCAAAGGCTCTGGTGAAAAGGTTTTCCCCAGAGAGCTCTAATGCCCTTTCATTACAAAGCAAACCTGCTGCTGGAAGCTACAAGGTTCACTGCAAAGCTCACTACTGACCCATGCAGCACATCAGCTCCACCAGCTCCCCACTCCATCGCTTTTTATCCTTAGTGAACGACTGCATTCTTCACTTCAGAACTTCAGAGTTCCCTTGCAGGGAGAGGTAAGCCGAGCAACGACTCAGGTTTCTAGCTGACAGAAAGTAGTAACTCCCCTTTAAAAAAAAAAAAAAAAGAAACTACAAGCAAACAACCCATTTGCTGTCACAGCAAGGAAAAGCTGTGAACACTATGGATTTAACTCACTGTAAGCACTAAATTCAGCATGCGTGTTTGTTTAAGCTGAACTTTAAGTGTTTTAATGCATCTCTGAGTACAAATGATGAATTTTTCCAACCAGAAAGTTTGTTTTCTTGCCTTTGTCAACTAAGTGGCAAAGTAAGAACATTATCGTGAAACATGCAGAGAAAGTGCTGCCTCAGGCAAAGCTGAATGTAGGTGAGGTGGCTGTTGAAAGAAAGGACATCTCACATCCCCTGGTCCATACACTGTGCTTCTGAGTTGTCACTAGCTAAGTAATCCCCTTGAGTGTTTCTGCTATACCTATTACTGCAGATGTGTCACAATAACGTCCACAACAAATATCAGCCATACCAAACTAAAAGACTTTTTTTCTCTTTTCCCACACTTTGGAAAGTACCCCAGTAAAATGCCTGACATCTTAATAGCCTGATGCCTACTTTATGAATCTACACTACAGCAGAGTTCCAGATTAGAACATTTGTAGGTAAAAGGTGATTGCAGCATCTACGGTATCTCACTGCATGTTCTTAGACAACGCCCTTGGAAATAACAGGTTAACTGTTAGGCTGCCATCTGTGGAGCCAGGAGTTGGTGACCCTCATAGGTCCCTTTCCACTCCGGAAGTTCTACCACTACAACCAATCTAAATGGTAAATTTAGGGACCAGATGCTTCCAACACTGATGTTTCCTTCCACAAATCCTTCTTGATTACATGGCAGACAGTTTTCTTACCAGAATTACACCAAAGTCAACACTAGGCATTGATGCCTAACGCAGTGCCTTCCTGGAGAGAAGCAGCCAAGCATTCCTCTGAGGGTAACTCAAAAATCAACATTCAATGTCCTGTTTTCCAGATGCACTGCAAATTTCTGTACTTCTCTCTTCGTTCTAATGTGAAAATACCAAAGTTGGGAGTTTTTAGTGACAAGATTTGGAAAAAAAATTCTTCTGCACTGCACTGATAAATTAAGCTTGTTTCTCTGCTATTTTGTTTGCTAACATGAGTTGCCAGATAGGCAACAAGTTTTTCAACATTCATCCATGTACTTTCAAAAGCCCTAATGCAAGTTATTGTTTACTTGTGCATTAACACACCATTTTTTCTGCACAAATTTCTTCCATTTACCATACTTGTTTATATTTAAACTCAAAAAAAAATATATTTTGAAAGAACATTATTAACGTTGCAAAATAAAAAAAAAAAAAAAAAAAAATCACTCAAAAGTGGAGTTAAAATTGGAATTAAGATTGGCTGAGAAACATTAATAAAACCCTCTTAGGAATATACACCATAATATTTAATTAAACGACCACTTTCACTAGGCTGCTGTCTAGGGCATACTACTCATTTACAGAGTAATTATTTAATATTGTATTTCACATTGCTGTTGCATTCTGAGCACCAAACCTATTCACTGTTCACTCTTCAAACTTAGAAGAAAAGTATTCACTTAATTGCAGGGTTGCCTCTGGTATTCTTAAGTGTAATGCCTGAGCACATAGTATAGAATAGTTATTCAAAATTCCTAGGAAAGGAGAAAGGTATTATTTCCATTTCATAGAGAGAGGAAGAACTGAAAAACTTACTAAAAACCAGGTACTGAGGCACTGAAAATCCAATTTGTCAGAGAAATCGTATGTTCAGAGGTCAGTTCTTGTAAGTTCTGTTGCTCAGCGCTTTCACAAACTAGACTCTAGTATCTCAAATGTCACACTCAAAAAATAGAGCATAATTAATTAATCCTCTCCTGGGAAACCACCTGTTTTATGACACCCAGAATCATATAGCTACAGAAGATATAAGTGCTGAAATGCTTTACCTAGAAGGCCTTCCCCTCCACTCCTGCAAACTCAACCTTTCGTTCACACATGACCTCCAAGGTCTAATAATTAGTCATTCTCCCTAATTAAGAACCAGAGGGCACCCAGCAAATCTATCAGAGTCTGAAACAGAAGGGAAGATCTCATTTCAAGAAAAAGCCTAGCTTGGCAAGGTAAAAAATACAGAACTCTATAGGGAATTGTTGAATAACCTTACTAACACATAATCTACAGGCTTTCACATCATTAATGGGTATTCTTGATTACAGCAATTTTAAAAGCACATCTATCTGTATGCCTTGTATATAAATTTTAACTGCCTGATATAACAATTCAGCAAAACCTACCTTTGGTATGAAGAACCAGGATTATCTTTGATTCTGCACAGTACCCTAAACTAGATAAATTCAGGAATCAATAAACAGAACTCTAATTTATAATATAGTAAAGTATATGAATACAGACCTGTGCTAGAAGTGTGTTATTGCTTCAAATTTTCATTAAAGCCACAACATATAAAAACCTAACATGCTTTAGCAATGACTTCCAGTAATAAAAATTAAGAAATGTATAAATACTTTCTCCTATAAAAATTTCAAGGCTGAATTAGCATTCATGCAGCTAATAAACAGCTACACTGAGTTCCTGCCAAATTGCTAGCAAGTTTCTGCTGAATGAGGTTGGTGCCTTAGTGGAGGGCGCTGAGCCAGCAAAGTTAATGAACACCTTCTTTGCTTCAGTCTTTACTGTTAAGACTGCCTCTTGGGAATCCCACACTCTGGAGATAAGAGAGACAGTCTGAGGAAAGGAAGACCTCCCTCTTTCCCCTGGCCAAGGAGGATTTAGACAGAGATCACATAGGCAAACATGACAAACACAGATTCATAGATCACTATGGGATGCACCCACAAGTACTAAGAGAGGTGGCAAAAGTGACTGCCAAACTGCTCTCATCATCTTTGAAAGGTCACCGAGAAGGGAAGAGATCTCTGAGGACAGGAGTCACTCCAGACTTCAGAAAGGGCAGGAAGGAGGAGCCGTGAAACTACAGGCCAGTCAGTCTCACCTAATTCCTGGGAAAGTGATAGAACAGCTTATTCTAGATGTCATCTCCAAGCAAGTGGAAGAAAATGAGGTTATCAGGAGCACTCAATGTGGATTCACCAAGAAGAAACTATGCTTGACCAATCTCGTGGCCTTCTACGACGTCGTGACTGCTGGTTAGATGAGAGGAGAGCAGTTGCCTACCTTGACTTCAGCTTCTGATACTGTCTCCCATAACATCCTCATAAGTAAGCTTAGCAATTGTGAGATAATGAGTGGACAGTGAGATGGATTGAGAGCTGGCTGTTTGGCAAAGCTCAGGTACTGGGTCCAGTGGTCTCGTTCAACATCATCAATGACCTGGATAAAGTGGTAGAATATACCCTCAGCAAGTTTGCTGATGATACGAAGCTGAGAGGAGTGGCTGACACACCAAAAGACTGTGCTGCCATTCAGCAAGACCTTAAGAGTTAGATGGAGAGGAACTTTATGACGTTCAATAATGGCAAGTGTAGATTATTGCACCTGAGAAGGAATAACTGCATCTATCAGCACAAATTAGGGGCTGAGCTATTGGAGAGGAGCTCAGCAGAGAAGGACTTAGCAACCTGGTGGCCAGCAGGTTGGCCATGAGCCAGCAGTCTGTTCTTGTGGCCAAGAAGGCCAGTAGCATCCTGGCGTGCATTAAAAAGAAGGTGGACAGCAGGTCAAGGGAGGTGATCCACCCCTCCTACTCTGCCCTGATGAGACTACATCTGGAGTACTGTGTCCTGTCCTGAGCTCCCCAGTTCAAGAAGGATATGAAACTTCTAGAGAGAGCCCAGTGGAGGGACACAAAGATTATTAGTAGCCTGGAATATCTCTCTTATGAGAAAGACTGAGAGACATAGGAATGTTTAGCACAGAGAAGACTGAGAGGCAATCTCATAATGCCTTTCAATATCTGAAGTGCAGGAATCAAGTGGATGGAGCCAAGCTCTCTACAATGATGCCCAATAACAAGACAAGGGGCAATAGGCACAAACTGGAACATAGGAAGTTCCATCCGAAAATGAAAAAAAAATCTTTTGTACTTTAAGGATTACAGAGCACTGCAACAAACTGCCAAGAGAAGTTGTAGAGTCTTGTCTGGATACAGCCAAATTTGCCTGGATACTTTTATGTGTAACCTACTGTAGGGAACCTGTGTTAGCAGGGCAGTTAGGCTAGAAGATCTCCAAAGGTCCCTTCCAACCCCTGTGATTCTCTGATTCCGAAGAAGCAATACTACGGGCCTCTTATGGGAATCTCTGCAAACTCATTCTGAGACCAGAACCACCAAGTTTGGAAGTGGAAGAGTTTCAGGACCTATTTTAATGGGAGTGACAACTACTACACGAAAAGAACTATGGGAAAACAAGGACATTTCAAGTTGCTCAGAACTGTAGTGGCAGGATAAATTTAGTGTTTGTCATGACTTCTTAGCTAAAGGATCTATTCAGTTATTGTAACCTCCTTCCCCCTTCCGATCCCCCCAAAAATAAACCTGCGCAAATGTGACAGATTGCTTATTGTAATTAGCTCAGTTGAAAACCTGGCTATTAATTCCTTGCTTCCTCTACCATACTGTATTTTGCTTCACACTGTGTTTTACTTTTTATATTTCAAAAAGACCGTTTCATGCAGTGTAATATAGAATGGTGCAATTCTTAAATCAGCTCTTCCTGAAGCACAAAAGATGTTAGCCAAGCTTGAAAGTAACATGTTACAGTTTACCACCTTTATCTTTTTAATTATCAGCCTCCCCGTGGATTTATGAAATCAGAACTCATAACGTTTCTTGTTGATGTCTCTGTTGGTGTTCACGTACCAGGACAGCTCGGGGAGCAGCACTAGCTGTTTGCAGGAGCTTGCCTTGGAGGCAGCATCGCATTACTTCTTTTTTTAGAATGACTGAATGGAGGCCTTGTCAGCCACATACAGAATGAAAGGATATCTGAAGACAGACTGGAATGGTACAGAGTTTAGGTAATAGAGAGGAAGACAGACAGTAAAGGCATGGGGCAAGGGAGACATGTGAGAAAGAGAAATTTAAAAAATTTACAGTTTACGAGACCAGATGATTCAGTTTTGATAAAAGAGTTTGGAATAGACATAATGGTGAGGTTTCAGCTTAATGGAATAGCAGTTAAAAAATTTTTTTTAAATCATTAGACAGTAGGACAATCATTAGACAAGATTCTTACCCAAAGAATATATGCTACTGCTTAAGAAATCAAAAATGAATGCTTTTGAAACGCATAGCCTACCTCACTGAGATTCACTTCTTTAAACTGATGAAAACATAAAATCCTGATTTTTTTTTTTTATTTTTTTATTTTTTTTCAGAAAATGTATCCCACTCAGCTTCCACCTGCCCTGCCAAGGCATGAGTCAATACAGAAAGGCTCTTTGAAACAAGTGCCTCCTCCCCCTTCACGCCCTCCTGCCAGGCAAACCATTAGTTCTTACAGGGCTTCATTTAGGACATCGCATCAGATCATACATACACAAACTTTAGTAAATGAATCCAACGTACTCCTATGCTAAGCTTTGCATTTTTAACATAAACAGCAATAAAGTAAGAACCTCAGTTTACGTCTTCTCCATAATTTCCTGGTTGCTCAGTTTCCTCTCCTTGGAAAAACAATTTTCTTAAATCATATGGAGAACAGCCACATAAACGAGTTGGACTGATTAAAAGGATGGATCAGGTTAAAAGTTTTGCTTGTATTCTAATAGTGGATGTGGTTCCAGGAATTACAGCCAAATAAGACCAAACTCTGACCCCACTGAAGTTAACAGTTAACTTTTACTGAAATAAAGCCCCCACTGACTTGCATGCAATTAGGGTTCATCCTTCACAACATAAAAACAGTTGATATTTAGGATCTGTGATACATTCGTCAACCAGAATATTTTTATTTCTCTGCCTTTAAAAAAATATTACTGCAAGGTTTACTTTACAAATCATTTTATTGATATGCATTTATCTATAAAAATGGAACTGTTGTCTGAAAAAAATTGTTCGTTTGTTTTAAAAGAGACATACAATTTGTAGGCAGAATGTGAATTCAATTTGCTGACAGGTATATGCTCACTAAAAGACTGGGAGGGCTGAAGAACTTCAGTATTTTATTTTGCATTACATCCAGACATCCCTTAGGAGGGGCTCCCAGTAAAGCTGTCTCAATTGTAACAGCTGCAAGCAGAATCCAAGGATACCAGCCTTTCATCTGCATCATGCTTAATGCTTAATGTTTCCTCACCTACCTTGAGTAACCCACTTCAGCAGCCTCCCAGCCTTAAAAGTGAAGTAATGAAATGTTAATAGAGACTAAATTGTGGAGAGAAGACTAACATGTTGTAGAATTTCAACTGCCGTGATTTGGAATGACAATATTTGCCTTTAGAATACTGAAATTCATCGTAACTAAATACTACTACAATATGTTGATCTATTACAACGATTAGAGCACACCACAAAACCTGATACTTGGAAACATTAACAATACACTTGCAATGAAATTAAAAGACTTGTTTAAAAAACAAAAGTTATTAGTCACCTCTAAACTGCAATATTTGCTTTGTCATCAGCTCTTGTAAAAAGCTTCACAAGATACAACTCCGTCTGGAAGGTGAGTTACAACGCTGCTATGAAATGAAGTACAACATGCAGACATTTTTGTCCCTATCACAGTCTGATAACTGATTAGATGATCTTATCGGGACCCAGTACAGACAACAACAAAATTGTAACTTTGGTTGTTGCTTCCCCTCCAGCTTTACTTAAATTAGCTGTTCACGTGCTGTTTCTCAAACAAAAGACCCAATTCCATATGTAAACAAGTAAGCACATTTCCCTTGAATCAGTGCAAGACAAGGCCTTAGCAGAACTCCACGAAATGAAGCAGTACTAGAAAAGGTTCTACAGAGCCAAGGCAGCTCAAGATGCCAACATGGCCTAAATGCACATGGCTCCCAGCTATATAGAAACCCATGGCTCCTGCTGAACACACCCCATGCAGCCCATGCTACCTTAGGTATCTTGGGTACCTGCAGTAAAACAGCTATGCTCTTACCAATCTCCAAAACAATTACCTCCCAGATATATCAGATCACAAACAGCTTGATTTTTGACATGTTTGACTGTAACATCAACAGACTTAATCCAGATCAATATAGATTGCTAAATAGATTATTTGCTGAAACAGAAAGACACAGGGCATAATACAGAATACTTTGTTACCATTATAGTATGTTAGAAACAAAGAGGTTTTTATTTTTTTGGAGGTCCAAGTTTAAACCTTGTTCTAGATAGAGGTGCAACTGTAGAGCTGCCAGTGATACAATAGAGTGATGACCACCTCAAGGTTCCAAATACAGACCACATCCAGACAAAAACACTCAAAAAAAGACTGGCTCACCATTTGGGCTTGTGATATTCTGTAATGCACTGCACTTCAACTCTATAAATTCAGAAGAATATGGAAAATGCAACAGACCACAAATAAATGCTTTGTATCTAGAAAATATTCAAAAATGTGCTAATTGCACACCCATCTGGCTCAACAAGAAACTGCACTCATGAAATTCTCAGCTGGACCTTTTTCCTGACACTACTTCCTATTCATGCTTGAAGGAAAATAAAGAATTCCATTTATATGTTCCTGAACCTTGTGGGGATAACTCATCTACTCATCAACACATCTGTGCAGGTGTGCCTGGGTTTACCAACTTACATAAAAAAATGCTGTGTAAAACATCAACAAATGGAATGAGAACTGTACATCTGATATGAGCAACAGATATTGTAAACTAAGAATATCACACTTGCATAAAACAAATGAGTGTGTGTATATGCATCAAAATCAAAAGAAACCCCAAGAAACCATTTCGTATTCATAAATCTGCCAGCACTTTGTAATGTTCTTGTAGTTAGTAACTAACTCACATCTCATAGTCAGTAACACATGAAATAAGCTCAAAAAATATTATTCTTGCGTCTTCCTGTCCCAGCAACAAGAGTTACAATGAGATTAGAAGCACACATTAAATTTGGGTCCCAGCTCCTGAAAGTTTATAGGTTAAGTATAAGGCAGGGAATCAACAATGGGTACAAACAGCCAGAGAAATAAAAGAAATAAAAGGAAACAATCATAGAATCATAAAGATTGGAAAAGATCTCTAAGATGATCACGTTCAACCACCAACCCATCACCACCACACCCACTAAACCATGTCCCTATGTGCCACGTGTACTTGCTTCTTGAACACCCCCAGGCACAGTGACTCCACCATTTCCCTCAGCACTGTGTTCCTATACTTCTCATCCAGAGAAGAAATTTTTCTTAATATCCAACATGAGATAAGGAAATAATAACAGTTACCTGTAAGCCTGTTCCATTTTAAGGGGGTAGAAGTGCAGTCAATATAGCATTCCGTTTTCTTACTGCAATAGTTAATTTGGTTCTTATATCCTATTTGCTTACAATTCCCTTCTACACCTACTTACATTCCTTCTCATACACAAATTCTCCTCCAACTACATTCCACATACTCTCAAAATCTGCATGTCTAATAAATTCAGAATCTCTCTTTTCTATGCTGATCCAAATAATATTCATTTTTTATTCAATTTCCAGGTTAAAAAGACTTGTAAGAAAAAAACGTGAAGGAGAAAATTAAAACAGCAGTTGACCCATGTAAGGAAAATCCTCTTGAAATTTAACCATTAGTAAATTTACTTGTTGCGAAGGCTTCCTTTTTTGCAGCCCTCTTTCTCAAGCCCTAGAATGAGATAGATGCTGACCTCTAATTCACAGAGCACAAAAAAGAAAAAATTCTGCAGACAGCAGTTGAGAGTCACTGAAAAACTGACATAAAAATACTGTTTTGCATTTCACTTCAGTTTTCAGTATTATTTGAGTTCTGACTTTTACAGGAGGAGAACGCACATGTGAAAACATCACATCCAGCTGTCAAGACACATAACAGCTGTACACAGTCTAAAAGAACATCTCACTAGACATTACAGTGCCCTAGGAGGTATATCACAGTGCTTCCCAGCTTCTGGCCGTGCCACCTTTTTGCATCACCCCTTCAACCAGAATTTAACCTTACTTAAAAAAGAGAAGTTTCATGCATTTATTTTAGTGAGATATCAGGAAGAGTTGAGACAAATTAAAAATTGGTTTCTGGAATGCCAGATGGCAGTTTTTAGGTTTTAAAATGCCAAATCGAGTTTCAACTGAAATCCAACACTGGCAAGATGTGACTGACTAACAAAAGAGCAAAAGGCTCATTAGACTATAGAATATTTCATCAGGGCAGTGCAAACTCAAGGATAATAAGAAACATTGCACTAAGAAAACCGCAAGCATTTTCTCCAAGAGCCCAAAGCCAGTGGATTTACATTGACTCCATGCTTTCCTGCCCTTCTGCTCTGATAGATATCAAATCCTGCTCTGCTCACTGTGCTCTCTGTTGCAGAAAAAAGAGGAATGTACTCTATTAAATCCACAGAAAGGTCCTGAGAGAAGACATTTAGGGAGGGAGAACAGCAATGCTTGCATGTGATGTAGCATAGCCACTAAACATCACAGCTTACATTGTCATTTCTTCAGTGCAGGCTAGGCCCACGAAACTTTAAAGTGGTGTACAAAGTACACATCAACACTCTCCCAAGCACAGTATGGTTTTCACACATACTAATCTACTTACAATCAAAGGAGATTAATTCAGTTTGTACATAGCAAAGGCAACCAGAACAAGAATCAGAATCACTGGGCTTAAAAAAAACCAAAATAAAACAAAAAAAATCAACACAAAACCTCATCTGCTGATGTTTACAGCACAGCTGTGTGCAATGCTACCCCTGCCTTCATCTCCATCAGCACACTCGCCCGTTGTTCTCTCTCCAGTTTGACAAACAATAACAGACTCTACTCCACAACAAAGAAACATAAAAATAAATGCTTGATGTTTTTTCTGTGTCTCCTACCAAGCTTATGGGCATTTAATACAAGCTCACGTGAAAAAGAAAGCATTCCAGCCAATTTCAATGGAAGACCCAGTGTGAAGAACACACTTTAATTTTAAAATACACCTAAGATGATTTGGAAATGGCTTTGACCACTTTTCTTGATTGCTGCACAAAACCAAAGTAAGCTCTTTGAGCTGAACTGTTTCAATTACATTTTGTGTTTCACTGGGAGAATCTAAAATTTTAATCCACTTTACAATGGATTAGTAATTAGTAGCAAAACAATTTTTACATTCACTTAAACAAAAACTGCCTGACTGAACAGTTTTGCTGAACTGTACAAGAAGATATTCAGTAGAAAAATATATAAATTATTAAGTCAAACAATGAGATGTGACTGCTTGTCAAATTGGGTGTTGCTATACAGAACATATAGTTGTACAAACTTCTAGAAAAGCAATGGAAAGCAACATTAAACTGCATGTGTGTTCAACAGCATGCTATAGGAATACAGTCCCAATTACTTAATTATCCTTCCTATCTTAAATTGTTCTTCTAAATTTCAGACAGCACACAAACTTGCTGAGTGCTTATCCACTTTCTCTATCCCTGC